AAATATGAAAAAAAAGGATGCTCCAAAATTTCAGCCACTGAATCCCATAAAATTACATCTATAGAGTGTTATATTTAAAATAAATATAAAAGTTAGTGGAGCCTGTAATTAGACTCACAATTATTTAAATTCCAAAAAGTCTAATTTTAAATTTTTTCCCCAAAATTTTCATTTTGGAGCATGACTAATGGAAAAAGACTGGGAAGGACATTCTATCCACAGAAGATAAAAAAATAATTAAATTTTGGATCATCTAAAGGGTGAGTAAATAATGTCCAAATTTTCTTTTTTTGGCTGAACTATTCTTTTAAAGTGACTAATGTTGTTTTTACACAATTCTGAACATACACACACACACTAGGGTTGGGTACTGAAACCCGGTACCAATATGGCACCGGTACCTATGTAACCGGTATGTACTAGAACCGAATCCATCTGTTGAGCAGCAAATACTCCAGCATGGTCTTGTCAGTCATCTCTCCATATTCTCGACCTGTGATCAGTCAAAGCAGACTCCTGCAGCTCTTGTTGGATGCAGGGTTGCCAAGGGTTGTCCGCGTTTTTTCTACAGAATTGGGATACTTTTAAACTGTTGCCATGGGTTGATTTTCCCAAGTGGGTTAAAGGTTTGAAATATTGCATAAATTGCATTTGACTGAAATGCTTGTATTGAAACATTTTGCATTCTACCTATGATAAAACTTTCATGGTCTTCTACATTAACTGTTCCCTCCTGGTGGAATGACCTGCCCAGCTCAAGCCAAGCAGTCCTTAATATTTTCAAGAAACGTTTTTTTTTTTATTTAAAAACTTGACCCTCTAACATTTGCACTCTCTATTCTATTTCTATTCTAATGGCCAATCCATCATTTTTGGGGGGAATTTTTATTAATTTAAAAAAAAAAAAAATTTATATAAGTATCGGTTCAGGCACCGTTTAGGCACCGGAACCGTTTTAAAAGTATCGATTTGGCACCAGTATCGAAAAAACCCCAAACGATACTCAACCCTAACACACACACACACACAATCATTAATTTCCTGCTCGCAGTTAGTCTGGTGGAGGCTATCTGTCAGGCCTGCAATGTTACAAGTCAAACTGTTCTTGTTCAAATAGATTATTTCCTGCTATAGAAAAAATATAAAGCTGCTGTAGATTCATGTTGTACACTAGCAGAAAGAGGAACCAAATGGTTTCCACATTCCAGCATTTCTCAATTTTTTAATAAACCTCTCTTTCAGCAAAGCTGCTGGGGGAAAGAGAGGTCAAGAATCACGTTGGGTCAACTAATATACAAGACAAAGAATGCTTGTGGTGGAACTCTGTAAACAAATATGATGAACTAAGCTATTCAGTATCCAATAATGAACACTAAAACAGCTGACACGAGATGGGAAACGTGTGATCCCCTTCACCCCCCCAGACCTGCAGGTCACCAAACAAACCCCAGCACACTCTCCATTGTACACTGATTGAACACAAACTAAATGGCTACTTACAAGCTCCAGTCCTGTGATATTAAAGTGTTACTGCATCTAGGTCACTGTTGTTTGCAATCACAACTTCAAGAGTGTGCGGCCTGGTCTCCAATCACAGTCAAGTATCTGGATCACCTTCCTTACAACAATTTAGTCTTCAATGTTCCATTCTCTTGCTTATGTGTCACCTTTTCCCACCTTTCACTTTTTTTTTTTAGGTAAACCAGTGACTCTTTCAGAGCAATCAATCACAATCTCAGAGTAATTACGCCCATACCCCACTTCTGTATTTAAACGCAAGGAAGTTGAACCTATATCTGATCTTTTCTTTTGTCAAAGGGTCCGGTGTTCATCTACTTAAGTGCTTTGTGCTTATGTGATTTTTATACAATGCACTCTTGGCCCATGAGATCAAATGGTCTTCTATGGCGCTTTATAAAAATCATTTGTTGCAAAGGCTCTATATATTGATTTTGACTTGTTGGAAACATTTTACACAATAACACTGAAACTAATCCTCATGTTACTTTGGCACAAGGGATTGATCAACTATCCCGGAGCTGAGAAATGCAAAAGAAACCTAAGCACATTATCCAGAACTTTGTCTGTGTTTGTCTAAACTGACCAGCCCTGCCAACAGAAAGGCTCCATAATTATTTTGAGATATTTAAACTTGCGGCTGCTTCTTGTCCAAAGTCGTGACTAATAGTCCTCAGAACTTAACGTACACATGTTTTTGAGGTTTGAGTTGTCCAAAAGAAACACAGAAAAGGAAATACATGAGCAAACATGGTTACACGCACTGTGAGATCGAATCAACTCAAGCACACAAATAAAAAAATTGGATCGATTTTAGCCAGGATATGATCATGGTGAATTGCTCTGCCTAGAGGTTCATGATGCCGTTCAAAAGTTTGGAGTTGGTAAGATTTTTTGTCTTCACTGTGACATGTTCCACGAATATGATGATTTGGTGCTCAATAAACATTTCTTTATTACAACTATATATGCCTTGGAAATGTAAAAAAATTTCATGTTAATATTAATAATCTGTTCAGAAAACTATTTCTATAGAACCACAGCACAACTAACAGTGCAAATTCTCAAGATGGAGATGTTCCAAGACAAAGTACATAATTTGTTGTACATGGAGGATCAATCACCATTTTTTTTATAAGCGTTAAAAATAATGAGCTTCTTAAATGGAGCACCACTGAGGTGATCAATACAACACCTAGGGATATAGAGTAGTCAACCTATAGCAAATCAAACATGCAAGGCCAATTAACGCAGACAGAAATCATAAACCTCTTCCTCATCCATAAAATAAATTCAGTGCTCAATGTGACATTTTTTTCCTGAATAAATGAAGAATACAAATTGAGCTAAGAGATCAATAATTCATCAACAAATAAATATTGAGTCGATATCAGACCTCAGTGTAGTAATAGAGCGATCAGACAGCAGATGGTTCATGTCAGTTGAATTGTCAATTGATTTTTGGATCTAATAAGTAAAAAGTCACACTAAAAAGGCTGTGTGTGTGTGTGATCAAATTACATTTGACAAACAAAGAAAAACAGCTGTTACAATGTTTTTGTAGTTCTACAGCTTACTGCATGCTAGAGGTGTCAGAAAAGAAAGTGCAAATGCTGTAAAGCGTTCAGACCACAGGATTCAGACCACAAACAAGCTTGTATCAGTATACTGGTGGTCTGCACTTCGCTTAGAGTGCTAAATATACACTTTGCGTCATTAAATTTAGCTTTGCCATCACAGGAATAAATTACAAAATATATTAAAACAGAAAACATTTATTTTAAATTGTAATAATATATCACATTATTACTGTATTTTTGATTAAACAAATGCAGCCTTGGTGAGCAATAGAAACTTTCAAAAACATTAAAATCTTACTGACACCAAACTTTTAACCGGTGGTGTAAATACTACATTACTACTAAATGACAATCATGTTCTTGTATTTGTAATATGCATGTTGAGGGAAACTATTTCTGTCAGGGTTCTGTCACTTCAGTCTAGTTTATTCTTGGTTTTGTGACAGAGCCCTGACACTCCTGTATTGTCTTGTTTCATGTTTGGAGCGTGGTGTTTGGATTGCGGCACTCATGTCTAGATTGGTTTCAGTCTTTTGTCGGGGTTCGAACACTCCCGCTCCATGTCTTGATTCTCGTGTGAGCATTCGGGTTGTGTGTTCACTCACTCGCCGTGTGCTCGTCTTGTGTGTTTTGTGAGCACTTGGTTTATATTTTCATTGGCCAGGTGCTTGTGTCGCTGTGTTCTGTTTAGCACACGGTTCGTATTTACATGGGCCGCATGCTTTCATGTTATGTTCTGTTTTGTGTTGGGTTGCACATGGCTCGAAATTTTTCTTGGTCGCGTGCTTTCATGTTGTCATGTTTTGTGTGAACACGCAGCTTATGATTGTTCTTGTTAGCGGTGTGTTCATGTCTTGTTTTGTGTGAGCACATGGCTTGTGATTGTTTTCACTGGCCATGTGCTTGTGTTTTTGTTTTATGTGAGCACATGGCTTTTGTTTTGTTTGTTTCTGTGTGACGTGCTCTTCTGTCTATTGTCTAACCCCGCCCACATTTTTACCTGATTATTGGTTCATTTGCCCCACCTGTCCACCCTTGTTACCTGCCTTGTTTGCTCCCTATTTATTCTCCTTGTGTTTGCAGTCCTGTGCCAGTTATTTGTCTAATGTTTGACATCATGTATCTTGCCTGTTCCGCCAAGACAGTCAAGTTGCCAGTTGTGTTTTTTTCCCCACAGGGAAGATTTTGTTGTTTGTTTTTGTTTTATTTCTGATAATATGAGGGCAGTCGTGGCCTAATAGTTAGAGAGTCTGACTTGTAACCCAAAGGTTGCGGGTTCGAGTCTCAGGTCCGAATTGTCAGTGGGGGGAGTGGATAACAAGCGCTCTCTACCACCCTCAATACCACGGCTGTGGTGAGACCCTTGAGCAAGACACCGAACCCCCAACTTCCAACTGCCCACTGCTCCGGGTGTGTGTGTTTATTCACTCCTGTTTGTGTGCACTTGAATGGGTTAAATGCAGAGCACAAATTCCGAATATGGGTCACCGTACTTGGCCACACGTCACTTCACTTAAAGAGTCCAAACTTCCTGCAATTGAGTCCTCACCTCATCACTTCCACAAACCCTAACAATTTCAGTAACTTATGAAAAGAGACTAAAACATAATATTTTTTGTCCAAATGTCACTTTTGCTGAAAAAGACCAAATCAATCTATTTATGAAAAAAAACATGTATAACTTGTTTAGATCCTTCTAATGTTAGTTTATATGGGGACTGATGTAACTTTATAGAGAAAAACTGATAAATAATGTGAAAACCAACATCTCACCAGTACTACAGTCCAGCTCTTCTTATTCAGAGCATACAACATGAAAACAAAAATGAAGTAAACAAAAACATACATCATTCCTTTAGTTCTAATCTGTGCCTGTGGGGGGCGCTCATCCCGCAGTCTTACCTGGCTTGTGGTACGTCGATGCTGGAAGAGACCACCTTGCGTTTTTGTTCCAGCAGAGAAACGGAGCGGGTGTGATCCTTCTCTGGCTCCAGCGCTCGGCCTGTTCGCTTGTGCTCCAGCACCCGTGGCTCCTCTGTGCTCTCTGGACTGAGGGAGGGCACCTCTCCTCTCTGCATGCCCCCATTCTGGCCCTGCATGGGCCCGTCCCGCTGGCCACCATTACAGGAGCTCTGCAGAGGAAAACACATTTGAGTTTCTTTAGTCTTAACTGTGTTAATACTCTTTCCACGTGGCTCCTGTCAAAGAAGCCCTATTTACACCTACGTGGACCATTAATGGTATAGACCCCTATTGTGAGGCTTGTTTGCTTGCAATCATGGAGCATTAGGCTGTATTTAAGCTGTTGGTAATACAATATTGCATCAGTCAATACAAACACCTGAACAATGCTTTGGATGGAGAAATCCTATTCGCTCATCTGCAGGCTCGTCTGTTTATAAGATCACTGCGCTGCTGACAAAAGAAGAAAAAATCCCCCTCGCTCTGCCATTTCCCCCTTAGCAAAACAAGCCACCATCCGTGACCACACTAATGCAAAGACGAGCAGCTTTTCCTCTTGCATGTCTCATCTGTACAGCAGCCGTAAAGTTTTCTATTGCACTGTGACTAAAGCTGAGGTACACTAAACCTCACGCTACAGAGAGGGCAAACAGGGGCCAAGACAACGCATATCACCACATGCACCAGCGAAGAGCATGATCTAACAATGAGCGGTGTGCAGTCCAGATCATTATCTTACCGTAACGCAATTATTTTGACTGAAGAGAGAGTAAACGCCCATCATGCTGGGTTTTGAGCAGCTGTGAGTTTACGCACTAATAATGGAGTTAAAAATAAAATGGATGGATTACCTGCCTCAATACTGGTCCAAGTAACTCCGCCGATAAGGGCTAAAAACGGTAAATAAAACAACATACAAAACTGAGGATTACCTCACTAGTAGTGAAGTGTGGTATTTTAATACATTCTCTTCTTCATTTATGTGCCAACTGTCATTATTTACTCATGGTCATGTTGTTCCAAACCCACATGACTTTCTTTCTTCTGTGGAACACAAAAGCTGAAATTTTGGAGAATGTGCTGGCTGCTCTTTTCCATGCTATAAGAATCAATTAGGATTAAGCTTTCAAACTTAAAAAAAAAAAGATTTTAAAAGCATCATAAACGTATAAAAAACATGGTCTATATGCATGATATTCCAAATCTTCTGCTGCCAAACAATAAGCTTTGGGTATCAGCCAATATTGGAGATTTTATATTATATATTTACTAGATATTTATATTATTGATTATAAAATTGGATATGTAATTGTGAACATAATTTTCCTTATTTTTACATTTTGCTGTACCACTCACTTATGCAGTCGTGGCTAGAGAGTCGGACTTGTAACCCGAGGGTTGCGGGTTTGAGTCTCAGGTCCGACAGGAATTGTAAGTGGGGCGAGTGAATAACCAGCGCTCTCTTCCACCCTCAATACCACGACTGAGGTGAGACCCTTGAGCAAGGCACCGAACCCCCAACTGCTTCCCGGGCGCCGCAGTAATATGGCTGCCCACTGCTCCGGGTGTGTGTTCAC